AAAAAAAAAAAAAAAAAAAAAAAAAAATCAAGCGGCTGGCCTGGAGTTATTCTGAGAGCCTCTTCCACCGCCTATCGGAGGCTGAGGCGGCGCCCTCCGCGCCGACCTCATCGTTATCGCCATCGCCGGCGGATCAGCGGGCGGCGGTGGGCTGGACCGAGGCCGAGACTCGAAGCCCAAACACTTGAGAACGGCCCGAAAGAACTCTTTGCAGTAGTTGCATGGGCTGGGCTTAAGCCGAAAGGGCCTTTGTTCACCACTTTTTGCAGCCGTCTCATCATATGTTTCTCCCATTTTTTTGGTATGCATTTCTTGGTAACAAATCCTATAATTAATTTATATAGACAAATAGTGTAATTATTTAATTGTCCAAGTTTATCTCGTGTTATTTAGATATTTTTATTTTGCAAATGGGGACATTTTTTGACTGTGGCTGCACATGGCTTGCTTACGGGGTTTGGTTGGTAATTTGACTAAAATATAATTCCTGAATTTTGTGAGGTTGGTTACATAATTTATTTTAGGGCAATGCTATATGTACACCCCTTTTTAATAAATTACACAAATGACAATGCTATATGTATACCCCTTTTTTACACACAAGGGGGTGTACATATAGACACCCCCTTTATTTTATCATATACTAAAATATATGCCCATAATTTGATGATGCATCAAATGTGCATGCTTAAATAAAATTGGTATTAAATTTTCATATATTTATTTGATGTCTAAGTTACAAAATTAATTCCCAACATTTGGTTTTGATTGAAATTTAGGGAGATTCTACGATCTCGTTACGGAACCATTTTTGTAACTGTAAGATCAACTATTCACAACGGTTAAAAGGTTTATGATTACGTTGGAAACAAAAGCAAAATAGTAATGAGATTTAATTCGCAATAATTTACTTGTTGTTTTGTAACATAGGAACCGATCACTAAAGTTGTGTGATCCTTACATTCGGGCACCTCTAACTATCTATTCAATTAGTCATGATAAACAAGTATCGTAAGTGTTTTCTACAAGCAAATTAAAAGAAGCATCTGTTCGAGCTCTGGGAATGCAGCAGTGTTAAAACTCTTGAGGAAGAGCTTTGCCGCCCTTGTGGTCCTACCCGAATTGATTCCGGATTAGCCGGTTTCCCTGTGGATCCAGAAAAACCGGAAGGTCCCTGTACCAAAAAAAAAAAGAAGCATCAAGCATACATGTAAAAATACTCTATACCTTTTCTCACTTGCAAACACAAATAGGAGTAGAAATAAAAATACTAACAATCTCTAGGGCACGATTGTTCGAATTATGACGTACATTATACAGTAGAAATCAAACTCAATGTATTAAGAACTCATGCCGAGTGCGTATTTGTTACAATATCACTTGTGAGTTGTCTCACGTCGTATATACATGGAAAATAGACCAAACTTATAAGACTATTGACTACTCCTCTTTCTACTAATTGGTTTTGGGATCAAACTTCATTTGGACTTCATCTGAATACTTGAGAGAGCACCCGTTATACCCAGAAATACTATGATGCCACATGTGGCACGTATTATGGTGCCACATGTGGCACCATATAATTTCTGCCGTTATACCCCTGATTCTTACGGTATTCATTCCTAATTTTCAATCAGTTTATAAGATTTTCAGGAATACTTATGCAATTTAATTTCGAAGTTCTTAAATTTTTTAACAGTCTTCATTTAAATATTTTAAGACCTTAAAAAGTGAAGAGATGTTCAATTTATTTAGGGGTGCTTGTTTACAATATATCTCATTTATATTTAATTTATATTTAAAATCTAACTCAACTTTAACTCAATCTAATTATCCTTAATACATCTCTATCGATCCAAAAAAAAAATATCCTTAGTATAATTCATATAATCTATTAATATATGAAGAGACAATGATATTTACTTGTAATAGCAAATAAAAATCAGAAAAAAAAACACATTTGATTTCCCGCTTAAAGTATTTACTATATTGAGTAATATTTTTGACCAAAAATTGAAAAATCTCGCCTAAATTAATGTAATTAATGTACAAAATTATTTTGGTCAAAATATTGCGGTTATTACCTTTATTAATTGCATGGTTTAACTTTGGTATATAATATATTGAACAAAAAATAAAAATTATTTAAAAAAATAATTATTCATAATTTGCGTGTCAATATTGACTTGGACGTAAACGAAATAGCCAATTATTTATAGTTTAATATATTATTCAATTACTTATTTTTTTTATTTGAATAGTTTATACAAAAATAGATAATTTTAACTAACGAAACAATATAAATGTTATATTTATACTTATTTTTGACAATGGTTGTTAAATATATGATAACATTTTCAAAATAACTATTTAATGGAACCACATTATAGTCAAATCGAAATTCTGAATAAAATTTTTGAAATGATACTTATTTTGAAACGAACATAATGTGAATTATTATCAGTTATGTGCATCACACAAGTTGTGTACTAATTTTAAATAAATATTTTTATGTAATTTTGTACATTTTTAATTTTATATAGCATTTTCAATAAATTAGGATAGGTAATTGTATTACATATTGATTTCATATTTTTAATTTATAAATATTATTTAATAAAAAATTTCAATTTATATATATTAGTGAATATCATTTACCCGTGCACTGCACGTGACTCATACTAGTAAAATAATATAAATCAATCATTCTTACGCATCACATCAATTTCAATTCACTATTAATTCACTCACATGATTTTAATTAATCATCAATTCACAACATCTATCTCCTACTTTCACACCAAATCAATTTTATATTTTATTTTATATATTATTTTAATATAAAATCATAATCTCACTAACAACTAACTATACCACCTCTTTCAAAATTAACTATTGTTACCAAATAAATATTACGTATTAAAATTGTTCCAAAGGCAAGATATTCCTTTGGAGGTGTTATTCTAACATACTTCCTGTAAATTGCAACTTGAGGAACAAAGACATACAGTTGGATGACATTTGCAATAAATGTGGTGAAACTCCAGAAACTACTTAGCATCTCTTCTTTCATTGCTCTAAATCAAAACAGATTTGGGCCTTGGCACCAGTCACTTAGGAAGGATTAGAGGCAGATACCCAAGACTTCAGAGGATGGTGGAGCAGATTGTGCTCTATGAATGCAAATAAAATTTCTGATTCAAGGATTGAACTGACTGCTCACATACTGTTGTGGAAATGGAAGTCTAGGAACCAGTGGGTATTTCAACAATTGCAGAGCCAGCCAAGGATGTGGTGGACATTGCACAGAAAGAGTGGCTAGAGTATGTGGACAGAGGCTAGGCCTAACTGAGGATCAACTAGGTTCCTTGAGGTTCAGTGGTGGATCTTCTGAGGTTTAACTGATGTCTATAGACCTGACCAATTTTAGATGGCTGTGATTTTGAGTACCTGCAGGTGGCTGTTATTGAATGATTGTTGTTGTTATTGTTTAGCTAATTATATTTGGTATTTATAGTTCTAGTTAACTAGTTTGGATCCATGTATTTTGCTGATTCAGGTGGTTCGGTCGAGCAAGTGCCGTAGCTTAGTCTCTGTTGCTCGAAGTTAGGGAGGATTGTCATTTAGGACATCATGTGGTAATCCTCATTGTTTTGGCCAGTTAGCCATCGAACTGTGTTTATTTGGGATAGTTATTTAATCTAACGTTTCGTTTAAGAAAAAAAAATCCAAACCAAAACTCACCTCCACACTTGTGATTCCAGGATTTCAGTAAAATATAAAGATATTTGATTTTAAAAAATTTAAAATATTATTCAGTCACAATGTACTTTCTTTCCTTTTTTGGGCCTTGTAGTGGGTTAAGAATAAAGTATTGAGGCTTGTACAACTTGTAAAAGTCTCCAATTCTTTGTTATCATGAGCCTGATGTAATGGGCCTGTTTTATCATTGTATAAATTTGTCCATAAGAATTCACTTATTAAAAAACTCTCTGACCCTAACTTTTGAAGGGAAATCCTTCCAATCTATTTTTTGCCATAAACATAGGAATAGAAAATAATAATAGCTCGAAATTATAGCTCGAAATATAATAATATATTTTAAATAATACAGAACGAAATACCTAACTAGATTTTTTTTTAAATAAACACATAACTGTAAACGGCTAATTAACTGATTAAAAACAACTGACTACAGAGAGGCATATACGACGAAAAGGCATGTAGTCTATAGAACACAAAAACAAAACAAGACAAAAGCTCCCATAATTGGAGAATTAGACTCTCAATAGAAGAATAAAACACAGAAACAAATATAAAACACAAAAAAAAAAAAA